TACTCAAATCTCCCATGTAACTGTATTTTGTGATATTTGTAAGTAAGTATTTATAAATTGAGAATATTTTTATGAGAATGTTCCTTTTGTTTGTGCCTATTTTGTTCAAAATAGGATTCTTTTCTGTTCACTAAATGTACATAATGTTGTGACGTGATGTCATAGGTGTATTTCATTATCCTTGCTTGGAATTCGTATAGCATAAAATATACCTGAATTCTCTACAAGGTATTTACTGATGAAATAAAAATCGAACTGGCAACACTGGTCCACCCGGACACTGAGTTGACATCAACTGTTATCTGCTGTTGTCAAATTATAATCATTCACAAAAAATTAAGTGTTTCAGGTCGACGAAAGAATGTAATCTGCACCTCGGCGGAAAACTCTCTAGTGTCTCGCCTGATTGCTTCAGATTCGACTATAGTAGACAGTTTTTCTTTCTTGGTATATAATAAATGACTATTTTAGCGAAACTATCCAGTTCTCAGGAATCTCCTGGAACACGTCGATATTTATTTTCAAGTTGCCACATTCATAATGGAAAATTGTATATACAGGGTGATCCACATTTGAGTTATGGCAACCTCGACAATTTTTTCAAATGGATCACCACCATATATTTTATTTGATTTTTGGAATCATCGTGATTTGATTTGATTTCTGATTTGATTTCATGTTGCAATCCAACTACAAACAATGCAAAAAATATTCAGGTAATTTTCTAATTCAACATCCATGTACCGCATCTGATGATGATCATTTTTGAATTTAAATAATTCGATATTTGATATGTGATGTTTAGTTGCAGATTCGAGAAGCACAGTGTTTGATACTTGACACAAAATCCGAGAAAACCATCCAGTCAAGCCGAACCAAAGAAACGATCCACAAAGGAAAATGACCTGAGTATACTTCTCTAAATTCAGATCACCATGTTCGTACGGAAGGCGATATATTAATTTCTTTTCCAGATTCTCAAGTAAACAGATCTTGATTATAATACACGTAATGTGGTAATGTGGATGAAGCCTACTGAGGAAACTTCGGAAACAAAACTAATGTGTTGCAATCCAACTACGAAGGTTGCAAAAAATATTCAGGTAAGTTTCTGATTCATCAACATCCATGTACCGCATCTGATAATAATCATTTTTGATTCCTATGATTCTATATTTGATATGTGATGTTTTAGTTGCAGATTCGAGAAGCACAGTGTTTAATACTTGACACAATCATTCAGTCAAGCCGAACCGAAGAAACGATCCACAAAGGAAAATGACCCGAGTATACTTCTCTAAATTCAGATCACTATGTTCGTACGGAAGGCGATATATTAATTTCTTTTCCAGATTCTCAAGCGAACAGATAGACAGATATTCACCTTTATGTCTCTATGGAAACACGACAGGTACCCTTACGAGGGGAGAGTACCAACTTTGCGTTCATAAACCCTCTCTGCAAAGGAGGTAGGCGCTAGATGGGTTAGGTATATATAGTGTTATTCATCGCAGAGAAAATTGTTGCTTATCTGCCTGCCTCGTTTTCATTGAGATAGTTGATTGATCAATTAATTACAAAAATATATCGCATTCCAGTTACGAATGTTGAAAACAATATTCACTCTTCATTTCATGTTCGTCTCACGATTTCGATTCCAATAATACTTAGTTTTAGGTCCAAGCAGCACAGTATTTGGCATTCCAGGTCTTGATTATAACACACGTAATGTGGTAATGTGGATGAAGCCTACTGAGGAAACTTCGGAAACAAAACTAATGTGTTGCAATCCAACTACGAAGGTTGCAAAAAATATTCAGGTAAGTTTCTGATTCATCAACATTCATGTACCGCATCTGATAATAATCATTTTTGATTCCTATGATTCTATATTTGATATGTGATGTTTTAGTTGCAGATTCGAGAAGCACAGTGTTTAATACTTGACACAATCATTCAGTCAAGCCAAACCGAAGAAACGATCCACAAAGGAAAATGACCCGAGTATACTTCTCTAAATTCAGATCACTATGTTCGTACGGAAGGCGATATATTAATTTCTTTTCCAGATTCTCAAGCGAACAGATAGACAGATATTCACCTTTATGTCTCTATGGAAACACGACAGGTACCCTTACGAGGGGAGAGTACCAACTTTGCGTTCATAAACCCTCTCTGCAAAGGAGGTAGGCGCTAGATGGGTTAGGTATATATAGTGTTATTCATCGCAGAGAAAATTGTTGCTTATCTGCCTGCCTCGTTTTCATTGAGATAGTTGATTGATCAATAAATTACAAAAATATATCGCATTCCAGTTACGAATGTTGAAAACAATATTCAGACTCTTCATTTCATGTTCGTCTCACGATTTCGATTTCAATAATACTTACTTTTAGGTCCAAGCAGCACAGTGTTTGGCATTTCAGGTCTTGATTATAACACACGTAATGTGGTAATGTGGATGGAGCCTACTGAGGAAACTTCTATTCGGAAACGAAACTAATGTGTTGCAATCCAACTACACGAAGGTTGCAAAAAATATTCAGGTAAGTTTCTGATTCATCAACATCCATGTACCGCATCTGATAATAATCATTTTTGATTCCTATGATTTTATATTCGATATGTAATGTTTTAGTTGCAGATTTGAGAAGCACAGTGTTTATTACTTGACACAAAATCCAAGAAAATCATCCAGACAAGCCGAACTGAAGAAACGATCCACAAAGGAAAATGACCCGAGTATATTTCTCTAAATTCAGATCACCATGTTCGTACGGAAGGCGATATACTGATTTTCCTTCAGATTCTCAAGCAAACAGATAGACAGATATACACCTTATTTATATCACTATGGAAACACGACAGGTACCCTTACGAGGGGAGAGTACCAACTTTGCGTTCATAAACCCTCTCTGCAAAGGAGGTAGGTGCTAGATGGGTGTGAGGTATATACAGTGTTATTCATCGCAGAGAAAATTGTTGCTTATCCAGCTTCCTCGTCTCTATTGAGATATAGTTGATTGATCAATGAATTACAAAAATATATTGCATTCCAGTTACGAATGTTGAAAACAATATTCAGACTCTTCATTCCATGTTCGTCTCACGATTCCGATTTCAATAATACTTTTGTTTTAGGTTCGAGCAGCACAGTGTTTTGTAGGTATATATATGGGTGAACGGCGTTGCCTCTAAGTGTTTTGTTTATGTCATCAGGGGTCAGCTTAATATAAAATGGCATCAAAATGTGATCAAAATTGAGTGGTGATAATAATTTTTTCGTTTTATTTTTGCCAATCCTAGGAAATATGAAGTGCTATAAGGTTCTTTTTGGTGTAAGAATTCGACGATCAATGATACTAAATATGTTTCTTCTCATCGGTGAGTTTGTGGGTAATGAATATAATTTATCAATTTGATTTGCTTTCATCAGTTGAAGCAAGACTTTGAATCAAATGGAATCATATACATGTTTTATATTCATTCAGCTGTGAAAAATTTGAGCTAAGGCTTGAGATGCCATCTATTTGAGACGATTATGGATCAGAAGTTTACTCATTCAATAATGATTTTAGAATTCGTATTCGTAACAAAAATTTTATAATAATATTTCAGGGGACTTATTAGAACTTTTTGGCTGGAAGCCATCTTTATTCCTCATTTTGACACATTTATTTTCACAAAATCTTTGCACAATACTCAAAATAGTTGTAGAATTTGAAACGCGTCGAGCGGGAAACAAATAACCAGTATTTTCTTAAAATCTCAGTTGAAAATTGCAGAAATAATATTACTATACTAAAAAAACTTAACAAGGGAATTAACAATGACAATGCTCATGTCAAGAATGTCAAATATCAAGACCAAATTGATCATGGCCTCCAAAAATATTGTTACCGATGAATTATTATGATTAGTATTTTGATAAGAGTATACCGTTTTCATGTAATTTTTTTCGCTCTATCAAATGCTTCTATTTTTTCTCCAAAATGAATACAAGGAAAAAAGTTGTCTTTAAAAAATCATGACCCACCCACTACAAACACCCTTTATAACAATATCAGAAATGTAGAAGTGCATCAAAAAATTGTATTTCATCAACAGACCTTTATGCTAGAAATCTCAATTTTGTGCCTATTACCGTTAAGAAGTTATGCGGAGAAGTTATTTCAATTTCATCAACTTGGGAAGAATAGATCTCCCTCAATATACATTTTGAGATATTAGTTCATTCATCAAACTATACTTATTTTTTAATGTACAATCACCTCAGCACACATTTGAGACGCACCTTGTATATTTTGTATCTTTTTGGCTATTGCTATTATGTATACCTGATGGGATATTTTTTAAATCATTATTTTTTGTTGATTTTTACTCTTTCATTCGTGTGATGTAGTGATTTTTCATGGATGTCACTGTTTATGTTGTATGTATCTTTTCGTATATGTACCTAATTAAAAATATTATCATTTTTTGTTTTTGAATTATAAAAAATATTGTTCATCAATTTTCTCATCGATTTTTCAAAAATTCTATTATGTCTGGTCAAGTCTGGTACATTTCACGTGGTTTTAGTACAACTCAATACTGATTTCAGTACAATTAGTTTTCTTGGCAACACTGCTCACAATCCACAATCGGCACATCGTGTCCATAACGTGCCCACGACACTGTGCCACGACCTTGCCCACACAACATCGTGCCCACAACCCCCACAATGAATAATCAAGTGTTGGTCAAACTGGACACGTTTGGTCACGTGCCATCTGTCTCATTTTTATTTTCGGCTTCCCAATGTTGGCAATAATGAATGGCCTGTTCGTTTGTTTGCTCTGCCTTGATTTGATTCTATTGCTTTCTATGACTCTCTCTGTTTACATCATGCCATGAACAGAGATAGCTGTGGGAACAAAATCAACTCTAGCAAGTTCAGCAATACAAACGAACAGGCCGAAAATTGACGTTGGCGTGTTGAAAAAATAAAAAACTCTTTTGGGATGTTGACAGCGTTGGTTGACATTTCCATTTTCTAGTCGGTTTATTGAAATTACATGTGCTGTAGTGTGATATTGAAGCCGGCTCATTACAAGAAACCGAATCAAGAATCGTAGATAATAGAATTAATAAAAAAAATAATATTCCAATATGCAGCAAGAAACAATACAACTGATACAGATTCTAGAAAAGACAGTTTCTCCCGGTAAGATACCTTGTGTCCATATCAACCATTGAGAGGGGACCGTTGACTTTGAAAATTTAACGATAAACAATATCTCCGCCCTTTTAGACAAAAATGAACTGGAACAGGCTTCCTCGTTTCTCGAACAAGCTGCAGCAACTAATTTATTGGGGTTCATCAAAACACTTTCTGATATCCTAAGACATGGAGGCAACAGTCCTGTTGCTAGAATGGCAGCTGGTCTGCAACTGAAAAATCAACTGACTTCGAAAGATACCACCATAAAAACTCAGTATCAACATCGATGGTTAGCATTTCCAGAAGACATTCGAAGTTACATAAAGAAAAATGTGAGTATCTACTTGATAACTTGAATCACAAGATAAATGCTTATTCAGCAAACCATTTTATTGATTGTATTGTTTTATCAAAGAATTGTTTTAAATATCCAGTGATATCAAGTTATTTCAGACTATACATACCTAATACATGAAAACATAGGTAAGTGTTTTTGAAACCACAATGAAAGAGTCCCAATAACATCAATTCAAGAAGCAATATTCATTTTATTCATGGTAGAACTGGTCTTGAAGATGATGATAACAAGTAGGTAGGTACCATAATAGGATACCTACTACAATATCCATTGAACATTTAATTACAATTACTTTCAGGTGTAAAAGAAATATTCCATACCTTTGATTCAACAACAAGTAGGTAGCAATTTTTATATCCACATCTCAAAATGTAGGGTGTCATTTCAAGGTCATCCGTCTTTCAACTACTTGATTGTTTCAAAGAGAGAGATTTAGAAGAGAATTATCAGATATTAGTGTGTTTTCAGAAAAAAATTATTCTCCATTTTGCATGTATATCTGTTTCATCAAGTAGACATGATAATTATAGATAACAATACTTGTTACAAGTACTTCATGGGTCTCTATTTTTCTACAGTATAAATACTCACTCTTGCACTAAGAATAGTGATATGGATTTTGTACTGAAAATATATTTTATTCATCTGATACCCATAAAAAATCAGATTTGTGGAAGGTGTATTTGTTATATTTTTCTATATTTTTTTTCATAACTTTTGTTGTCATCAAGTCCTGAGTGAAGTACACAAAAATAAGTACTTTATTCACTTGAATCTCCTAGCCTGGGATTCTGGCAAAACTTGTCAAAAGTACATAAGGAGTCTCTGCATCAACTCTTGATTTTTTCCAGACAGTATAAATACCTACTTCTATTTTGTTAATAGAGCTTGATATCCACAAAAAATCAAATTTTTCAAAGGTGTATAATATTTTTCTGATTATTTTTGATACTAAGTATCACTAAGTACCTATTAATCAATGAAGAGTACTTTATTTACTTGAATGAAGTGATACAATTGGGAAACAGGGAGTTTTACAAAACTTGTTGATAGACATAATGGATCTGCAACAATTCTTCATTCTCTTCCAGGCAGCATAAATAAATGAATAACTACTGTATTAACTATTGTGATGTGAATTTTGTGCTGGAAATTTTATCTGCATGCAAAATATCCATGAAAAATTTTTTCATAATGTGAATTTGTTATACATTTTTATTGATGTGAAGGTTGGAAGGTATTATCTAACCTAAATTATCTCCCTCAATTGATGAAAACTTCAGAGAAAAATGAGAGAAAATTCTTTTAAAAAATGCAAAACACATTCAACTAATAATTAACCCATTATTGTGAATAAACCTATCTCAGAAAACAAAAATGATAGGGTGGACCTTTCAAAATTGAGTCCCCACAGTGAATGTAAGGTTGCTATGATGTATTGAATAGAAACATTCATATCAAGTAATTTAAGAGAAGTTGGTGGTTGGCAGTGATGGAACATGTTTGGGTTATTACAAGCCCATCATCAGCCAATTGAATGGGAAAGCTTCCTATGTTGATCTGTTTATCTCACTGTGTAGTTTGTAAAATTGTAATATATGTATTTTTTCCTTTTTTCATGAGATCAAATTTCACTTCAGAAAAAAATTAATGAAAAAGGAACTGGACTCCTTCACCATACTACTTTACACATAGTTGATATATGATCCTCTGTGTCAGTATGACATTGCTGGCTTCACCAATATGTCTAGATGGCCAGAAATTGTGCTTTGTGGGGTTCTCTGAATAATAAATTAAACCAATCAGAACGTTCAAATGAGTTGAACTCCTTGTATAATTTCGAATATATGTGGATATACATAGAGTAGCTCCACTAACCAGAAATTTAGAATTATTTCCATCTCCATAGTAACTAATTCATATCATTGTTACATAATGTAAAGTTTATGCAAAGTCAGTTGAACAGATCATCAAACAACTGTCGGCCGCGCTACCGCACTCTTTGAACTTTCAAAGGGACGGACGGCTTGCAGTGATGTGTTTTTCCAACTGACTGCATAAACTATACCCTTCATGAGGAAAAGTTATTCTCAAAAAAATATATTTATTTCCATGGACCCAAACTGTATAGGTAATATGATTCTGACCCAGCTGAAAACTATAAATACAAATACAAAGTATGTATGACTCAGTCTTCAATTGATAATCAACAATTTATAGTGATGCTAAAAGGTTTTCCACCTCCAATTCCAGTATATTCTCTCTCACTCACCTTCCCAGACCTCAATCAGAAGAAAATCGAAAATCAATCAGCACACTATTTGAAGTCAGGAAATATCAGATATTCACAATCACCAAGATCATGCGATTTGACCCCGTTAGACTTCTTCCTGTGGGATTTCCTGAAGTCGCAGGTTTATGGAAATAAACCACAACCGACTAATGCCCTTACATACAGACAACATAACTGATGCTATCGCTCAAATTCAGGCGGATCTATGCGCCAGAGTCATTGAAAATTGGACCGTTCGGATACATGTCACCGTGAGAAGCCGCGGTGGACAATTTGAACAATGTTATATTCCAAACATAATGTCATACATAGGGCTTTCAAATAAAGAAAGAATTTCGTCAATACCTCACCCACAGCTTGTTTTATTCAATTTCATTATCGACCTGTCTTATTGAAAAACCCTTTATAATCTTTGAGAGCTTGTAGCATAGAAGTTATCACTTTAAAAATGTCGGTCTTTTTTTTATTGTATCATATATAGCAGCAATCTATTGAAAATTATGGTGAAACCTTAGCCTTGACACTTGATGTCTCCAAGGCATTCAATCGAGTCTGGCATCACGGACTCCTCGCCAAGCTTCCATCTTATGGCTTGCCTCCCCAGCTATGTTCTTTGCTAGCTAGTTTTCTCTCAAACAGGTCTCTCCATGTCGTGGTCGACGGAGTTTCATCTGACTCTCTTATCATGAATGCTGGTGTTCCGCAAGGATCAATTCTAGCACCAACACTATTTCTACTCCATATCAACGATTTGTTGAATGCAACTTCATGTCCTGCACACGGCTTCGCGGATGATAGTACCCTCCATACCGCCTTCTCTTCCAGGGATCCAATACCAGCCAGGCAAATCAGAAACGAACGAGGGAGAAATGTTGACAACAATATGGACTTGGCAACAATATTCGAATGAGGATTCAATAACTTGGTAGATTTCAATGCTAACTAAACACAAACATGCTTCTTCTATAGAAAAGCCGATCTCACTGAGCCCATCATAAGCTTGTCGGGAGTAACCATACCTTTGAAGACATCGATTTCGATATTACTCAGCATATCAGCAATAACTTTGCTTGGGAAAATCACGTGAGATCGATTGCTAAAAGTGCATCCCAAAAACTTGGTTTTCTGTTTCGGGCCAGGAGCTATTTCACTTCCAGTCAGCTGCTTATGATCTATAAGGCACAGATCTGACCTGTCCTGGAATACTGTAGTGCAGCACCCAAACATACCCTGAAACTGTTGGATTTTGTCTCGTGGGTGACGCCTCGCTCACAAACTCACTCACTTCTCTGAAACACCGTATGAAAGTTGGCGATCTGGCTCTATTTTTTAAATATTTTCATGGACGATGCTTTTCTGAATTATCAACAATTGTTCCTCCCAGGGCAGTCTTCGCGAGATTAACCCGTCGAATTGAGGCTTCGCACCCCTTCGTGGTCACTTTGTGTTCCCCGAGGCATATAACCTCCAGAAATTTAAGAAGAACACCAATTGCTACCTCATTTTCCTTGGTTCCGTGACCATTACAGGATTTCCCTTTTCGTGGAAACCAGAACATAAAAAAGTTATGATTTTGATGAAAAATTTGTCAGGGATTTGTTTTTCGAAGAAAAACAGAAATACACAAATGACTCATTCCAACCGTGGTCGTAGGTGGTGGGCGCCCTGGGCACGGAGACCAACCGACCGTCGTCGGCGGCGCAATGCGTCGCCTACATGGCGGTAGCCGAGCTGCCGCAGAGGCAATGGCCGGAACTGATAGCCACGCTGGTGAGCAACGTGTGCCAGGGGGACTCGACGGAGATGCAAAAGGAGGCGACGCTAGGTATGTCTAGAGCAGGGATCACCAATGGAGACGTTTCCCATATTGAGGTTTTTATCTCACTGCGAAGTTTGTAAAAAATTAATATACAGCCTGCCAAACCTCACCAGCGACTTTTACATACAAATTGTCACTGACAAGCTAGTGAATTTTTTTAAGCCCTCTGATAAGAAAATTCTTTAAACACAGTGACATTTTGGGGCAAATCATTTGATTTGTCCTCACTACACGTAAATTGAAATTATATTCATATCTTTATTATATAGAAATAAGGAGAGAAAATCCCAAAAAATCTGGAATAATGAATGTACCACCTCCTCTATTAACCTACAGACAGTATTTAAGTGACTTATTTTCCCTTATATGTTATTTGATCCAATATGATGAGAAGAGTCTATTTCAGATCTAGTTTTTTTCACTCAATCATTGGGGACAATAAAAAAATTGAAGACCGCATATTTTCCGAACATCATAATAATGATAATAACAATAATAATTCTTCTTCTGAACTTTAAGGACGTTCTGATTTGAAATGTTTGTCTATTTAATATCTAATCCTGGTCTCTTGGAGTTATTTTCTTCGAGTTAATCGTGGACGACAAATCAAAATATTCAAAGTCGGCATATCATATTTTCCCTGAATTATTCTTCTTCTGATCCCTAATGGAATGAAAAATGTAAAAAAATGAAAAAAAAAACTAGCATCCTCAAATGGTTTTATTTTTTTCACAGAATATAACTAACTCATTGTTCCTCATAATCAACTGCTGATTTTGAATGTATTATAATTATCAGAATTGGTTCTCACCAATATAAATAATATACATATACTAATAATATAAGTTATTTTATACAAAATGTTTTTTTCTGTTCGTGAAATATTCCGAACTACTTTGAAATAATAACTCGGAAGGATAATTTGAGAAAAAAATCTATGACACCAAACTATTTCCCATTAGAGGCCATCGGGTACATTTGCCAGGAAATCGATTCGGATGTGCTCGTATCGCAATCAAATGACATCCTGACGGCCATCGTGCACGGTATGCGGTCCACGGAGCCCAGCAATCACGTGAGACTGGCGGCCACGCAGGCGCTCTTAAATTCATTGGAGTTCACCAAGGCCAACTTCGACCAGCCGACGGAAAGGAACTACATCATGGAGGTAATGTACACGGATTTTTAACTCAACAGGATGGTTCGTCCCGTATACATCAATATATGACACAGATCTGACGTCATGGCGTTCACGAGGAACTCTCGAAACTGGTCCAATATTTTTAGCAAACGAAATGGGCCTTTCCAGTATCGTGAAATTTGCCCCTTGTTCGCCATAATGTTTTATGAGCGGAAGTCAAAAACGTTATCCTGATTACATATTTATCGGAAATGTCGAACAGCAAATGAACTATTCAATATTGAAGATGTACTTCCAAGACCTGTGAATGAATTGAAACGCTACTGAGCTTTGACGTCAGTATCTGCTTGCAATTTGAGTGGTTGGAGTTTCAGACGACTGGGAAGCACGTCACTGTTGCCAGGTCTCTATAAAATCCTTGGATTGATCCTATGAGCAAAATGGCGCAAGGAATGCCATGATTCGAAATTAATATAGTACTAGGTAATTTGTTGATTGATCACTCTCAATTTACTCTGAACTGCGAAATATAATTTTCATGATCAGCTTGGATAAAATGTGGTACAGGCGTTTTTACAATAAGACGTTTCTCGTTCTGCTCAGTTTGTTTGAGTTATGATGTTACGATTTCGTTGACTAATTGTTATAATCATCAAATTGATCCGTATCACTCCATCTCAATTACTCATTCTTGGCAAATAATATAGTTTGCTAATGTGGCATCCATGTCTAGAAGAGAAAGAGATGAAGCAACTGGCACTAACACAACGTTACCAAGTTGAATTACTTCATACCTCAGAAGGCAGTGATTGTATAAAAATAGGACCAAGTGAGCAATTTTGTATTTATTTTTTGTTTAGTAGCACGAATTTTTAGGTAGTTAAATATGAGTTGAGTTATCTAACAGTATCGGTATTAAGTATGTGCTGAAATGAATGAATCAAGAAATGAATATCCGAAGGTGAGGGTATTACCAATCCAAATTGCTATCGCACTGACGTCACACGTTTCGCGGCCATGTCTGATCTTTTGAATACGCTTGTTATTTATTTGGCGTTTTCATTATTTTTCATACAATAAATTGATGGAAAGAAGATCCCAAAAAATTCAAGGTATTCCAAAGCTTCTTTTTCTAGGAATGACTGGAGAGGCCCATTGGTGTAAAATTTTGTATCCAACAGTCTAGACTTCCGCAATCCTTGAAATACTACAAAACACTTCATTATTTTATTTTCAATGTATTGAGTATGATTGGGAATATTTTTGACGAATTCGTCGATTGGTCAGGTGGTGTGTGAAGCTACCCAATCAGCGGACTCGCAAATCAAGGTGGCAGCCTTGCAGTGTCTGGTGAAGATCATGTCTTTGTACTATCAGCACATGGAGACCTATATGGCGCCTGCTCTGTTCCCCATCACCCTAGAGGCCATGAAATCCGAAAACGATGCTGTGGCACTACAAGGTACTCAATATTAATCTGAGAATTCAACGTTTTTTTTTGTGATTTTTGTGTGCTGCTTGATGTTATTTTTTCGGTACGTTCTTTTGTCGATCTAAATGGAAAAGCTACTTAGTAGGCAAGAGGTGTAATATTGTCTGTTCATTGGAAAAAACCTAAACATTTTTCATGTTCCTGTCATGCATCGACTATCAAGTTTGTAAATTAAAATCTCATATTGAAACTCGGGGTTGAAACATTATCAACAAAGATATTTAGCAACAATGAAAATCGTCTACCTATACTCAAATGGGAGCAAGAAGTTGTTTATGCAATGCTATATAAGCTTGATTTATGATGCTATTAAAATATGAGGAACTGCGGAAACCTCGACTGATACTCGTTAGTGCTGTGATGAAGAAAAACGTTACTGCTCGAACTATTTTGACATGCAAGCCAAGCAGAAAGACGAGGGCTGCTTATTCCCTTATATATTTTTGATAAGTTACTATATTATTCCTGAAATTCCGTTATTCCGAACAAAATTATATAATCATAATTACACTTCAAATGTTCTCATTCCTAAAATATCAATGCATTATTTTGGAATATATGATCCAAGAAAATCATTTCACTTGGTATTGGTAGGTTGGATGGTGACAGATGCGCTGCAACCTAATTAGATCTATTGTGCCCCATCTGCTCCTGCTATATCAAGGATTTCCTGTTCATAGCAGACCCTCGAGATTCAATTCCTTCAGGAATTTGACGATTTTGAGGGGGTCTAGCTGTGGTATTTCTTCCACAGTCAGCTGGTGTGTTCCCAGTATGTTCAATCTTTTGTGATGTACAGCGTCACACTCCATCAGTATGTGTTGGGGTGTTTCTGGTTCTTCCTCACAGAATCTACAGGTGCCGTCCTCCTGTAAGCCTAGCTTCCTTAGGTGTTCTTTGAGTCTGCAATGCCCCGTTAAAAATCCCGTTATTGCTTTGAGACTTCCTTTGCTGAGGTTTGTCAGTGTCTTAGATCTTTCTCGGTTGAAATTTCCAAGGAGATCTTTAGCCTGCCGTAGTCCTGGAAGTCTTCTCCATTGTCTGGCTCTCCAGGCTCCTTCCGCCTTCTCAAGTTCTCCTTGGAAATAGGAATTTCCAAGGCCGCAGAATGGCTCTGGTCCGATCAGTGGCGTTGAAGCCACTTGTCGTGCTAGAGCGTCTGCTTGTTCATTCCCCTCCACTCCGATGTGCCCTGGCACCCAGAGGAGGATAACTTTATTGTTGCTGCCTAGCTCATTCAATTTGCTTAGGCATTCCCATACCATCTTCGAGTTGATGTAGGGAGAGCTCAACGCTTTGATGGCTGCTTGGCTTCTTCCGGTATTTCCTGTCTAGGTTGAACTGGATGCATCTTCCTATGGCGTGTATTTCAGCTTGAAAAATGCTGGGGAATTGTCCCATGGATTCGAAGTATTTTCACTTTGATATGCATTGAAATTGCCTGAACCTATCTTTTTCCTCAAATTTACGTCATTGGGAGAGGAGTCTGCCAGTATGTAGATATTATCATATCATCTCTTGGAGTGCAAAATGGAACACGATAATTTATACGCGACTTTATGCCCGCAACAAACAATCCCACAAACTAAGAATTAGAGAGTAAAATAACTTTGAGCTGGAAGAAGCACTATATAGAAAAATATTGAAAATGTGCAATCAAAATAATAACTACTAGAAGCCATAAACTAGGTAGAAGCACAACAACTAAAAATAAATAACTTACAAATACCAACAATAACAACAAATACAAACCAACGAATTAATAGAGAACAAGCAACATTAGGAGAAATAATTAATAGAAGATACAATCGCAATTCCAAAGGATTCGGAGGAAGAAGATTCGGAGGAAGATGATTAATATAAAGGAGTCAACAGTCAACCACCAGACGTCAAAACTGTCAGGTACGAATCGTTACAAATATTCTTATGTTTTATCAATATCTGTGGTTGACTGGTTGGTTACTGTTTGGAAAAAAGTAGAAGGCAAATTCAACCTGAAACAGTGTCACTGGCATTGAAACAAATGATCTATTGACAGTAGCGCCATTTACAAGCAAACAAATGTTGGGTTGATGAACAGACAATATACTCACTAGCAATTTAGCTTCTCCATTTAGATCGACAATGCCTACATAATTTCTCTTTCTGCAAGGAATTGAATTTTGGTCCAACGTTAGCGATGAAGAAGTCGATCTGGCCATCGAGGATACTGAAGCTTCTGAAGCTGGAAGACCACCGTCAAGGCAAGTATAATTTTTTTATGCAATTAAAAAATGATGTATTTTTCTAAATATTATATTATTAATTTTTGTATAGAGTTTCAAGGCACTATGCTAAGGGTGCTCTTCAATACATCGTGCCGATACTCCTACAGAAACTCACCAAGCAGGAAGAACTCGACGACGAAGACGATTGGAATCCCAGCAAAGCTGCCGGCGTCTGCTTGATGCTGTTGGCCACGTGTTGTGAAGATGAAATCGTCCAACACGTGCTGCCCTTCATCAAAGGTAAACCATTTCAATTCCCACAGCCACCTTTTGGTTCCATTTCCAGCCACCTTGTGATGATTTCCTTGCCACCTGTTGATTTATTTTTAGCAACCTGTTGGTTTTTTCCTCAGCTACCTGTTGATTTTACCTCAGCTACCTGTTGATTTTTCTTTTCAACCACCTTGTGATCTCTTCTCAGCCATGTTTTGATCAATTTTCAGCTTTTGATTTATTGTTAACCAAATTCCTGATGTCTTCTCAGTCACCTGTCTTCATAGCTACCTGTTGATTTTTTTTAGGAAATCTGAAATTTAAAAGTCGAAATTTTGAAGATTTTGCAAAGTAAACTGGTATAGGTCCTTTGTTGTGACGCTAGGGATGTATCCAATTTTTTTTAATGGGTCGAACTTGAAAATTGACTGAATTTCAGTAATGTTCACGGCCAAAAATTGATAAAAGAATCACAGTTGTATGTTTCGGATTGTCGGCCACCTTTTCATTTTATCCTAGTTTTGAAATGAAAGTGTCCCAACTGGCTTTGTAAAGCCTATATAATTTCTTTTGAAGCTTCAAATATGGAAACCAGTGGCAGCTCGTGCTCCTTTCAATAGGGAAGTCTAAATGGGAAGTGTGAATGTGAAATTCTAGTAAAAAAACTGACAACACTTATAAGGTTCTTGTTCATATAAAATCCGTCATATTTTCAATGGTCTTCGGACCAAATAACAACAGTCACAGTATATAGTTTCATTTTTGATAGTGTTTAATGAAATTATGATAATTGAGTTTTTATTGAAGAGAATTCGTACAGCGACATCTATTAGAATAAGATGTAACAAAAACCTTATATTGTGATTTTCAACTGTTTATTGCAGTCAAGTTTGGGCAAATCAAGAGCGCATCAGTGCAATCACCATATACTTATATACATCTCAAATCACATCTGCTCCCTCGCGAATCGCGATTCTGGCGGATTTCATTGGTCAGAGGCTGCTTTCCGTTGGTTGTTGTCAAGTCGCAAATTTGTATTATATTCTTAACACTTAAGTATAAGAGCATTACTGCCAAATTCTCGAATTCTTCTTGATATCAGAAAATAGAACCGATGAAACGAACGTAAGTTAGCTATTTCGGAGTTTTTTTATACAATTATATCGAACTATTTGATTATGTAAATTCTGGAAGAGACTCAGCTTCCGTTGCCTTCTCTGAGGAGCCGCCACTGATGGGAATCCATTAGATTACAAAGTTTCCCCGACGTGTAGACTTCTGTGGTGATTTTTTCATCTGAGAAGATCTGAAAATCGGACCACCTTGCCACTTATTGATCCAACCTCAGCGACCTGTTGATTTGTTCTTAGCCACCTGTTGATTTCTCCTCATCCACCTGTTGATTTCTCCTCCTCCACCTGTTGGTTTCTCCTCAACCACCCGTGGATTCATCCTCAACCACCTGTTAATTCATCCTCAACCACCTGTTAATTCCCTCTCAGTCTTTATTTCTAACCTCAAAATTCTTTCGAAGACAACATCAAGTCGGACAACTGGCGTTTCCGTGACGCTTCCCTGATGGCCTTTGGCTCTATCCTGGGCGGCCTGGAAAGCGCCACCCTCAAACCCTTGGTCGAACAGGCGATGCCCACCCTCATCGAACTGATGTACGACTCCAGCGTGATAGTTCGCGATACGGCCGCATGGACTTTCGGACGTATTTGCGAGATTATCCCGGAGGCGGCTATTAACGAGTCTTGTTTGAAGCCGCTGCTGGAGAGTTTGATTACCGGTTTGAAGGCGGAACCGAGGGTGGCGGCGAACGTGTGTTGGGCGTTCTCGGGTCTGGTGGAGGCGGCTTACGAAGCTGCTGATGTCAGCGACGAGTCAGGTGAGTGAATCGGGATGGATAAATTCGGGAACAACAAATATTTTTTCGTCGACCTCTACAGTTCACCTTGTCGCTCATATATATCGCCACCTACTGATTAGAATTTCTGGCTTTATTGCTTTCATTAGGATCTTTCATCTTGATAGCGTAAATAATCAAGGATAAAACTATCCATCATAACAGTAAAAGAACAGACAAATAGAATGGGAAAGTTTCCAATGTTGATATTTTTATGTCTCCGCAAAGTTTATGTAAAATTATTATGTACGCATTTTTTATTTTCTCAAGAGGCTGATTGTTCAGTGCAGAAAAAAATCAAAAATATAGTTTCGGCTTCTTTACCATTCTGCTGACGTCAATGGTGAACTGCCATGTTCACACAGAGCTAATACGCGAACTGCCATGTTCACACAGAGCTAATACGCGATCTTGCTAGCGCGACTGCGATGCTGCCTTTTCATTTATATGTTTGGGTATTAGGAACTTTTCAATATGTTCTGACTGCAATGATACTTTATTTAAATAATGGCTACTTTATATGAACCGGTATTTGTAATCTGGATTTCTTGATAAGTCGAAAAGTATAATAGTTATTTGTTTTACTAGGCAGGAAAGTAGTAGATTGACTGCCGCGGCTGACAGTTCATAGCCCAGCGTAGAGAGGCAAGGAATTCAGCCAAGGTAGTCAATCTGCGTTTACTGCCGTGTGAAACATATAATTGTTTCTCCAAATGTTACGAAACCCATTTTGTGCAGATTTTTTGTTGAAAACTCCATCATTTTTTGTTCACCCAATGGCAGTGTCAATTTGATTACCAATTTCATTAGAATTTCTCGGAACATTGCATGGCAACAAACCTTTGCTGTCTAGGCAGTAAAAGTACACCTTTAATACCTGTTAAGTGTCACAGAAAAGCCACTTTCCCAGCCGCTTGGAGAAAAAACAAATTATTTACGGATGCCTCATGAAATTACGATTCAAGACGAAACAATATGTATACATATATTTCAATATTATTTAAAATACCTCTATTACTCAAAGTTGAATCAAAACTAAATTTCAACTTGAAGGGACCCTGAGTGGATTTTTATTGTTTCAAAGAAATTTACATCAAACCATGCTGATAGCTGCGGATTTATTGGGTTATGTTTCCATTGTTTATTGTTGTTTTTGGTTTGTTACTATGTTATATTATACCCATGTTCACACTAGGTATGCGGTGAACGTCATCGTTTTCAGACAAAATATTTCTCTAATGCTCTAGTTCAAAATTAGAAATGATTTGAATAATTTCGATGGTCATTATAGATTGCAAGGCATAATCGGGTGAATTTTCAAGGTACTCCGGACACCTACATCCTGTCCCAGTACTTCGAATTCATCATCCAGCGGCTGTTGGAGACGACAGACAGACCGGACGGAGCGCAGGCGAACTTGCGCCCCGCCGCCTATGAGGCGCTGATGGAGATGGTGAAGAACAGCCCCAAAGATTGTTACGTCACTGTACAGAAGACCACCATGGTGATACTGGAGAGGCTGCAACAGGTAATGTAATAACAGGGATGAAGAGTACTTCATTCATTTATTCAAAGTCTCACGAAACACTGTTAAGATATTACAGTATAAAAATAGCATGTTTACCTTTTACTCAATAGCTGTTAATACTGGTCTCACAGAAACGTTCAAATGGGCAAAAGCGGAGAATTTTTTATTACATGAACTGGGTGGAACTATACTCGGATTTTAGCGTTATCAAAATGATTCGGCACTAGTTGACACCACGTTCATAATTATCTGTGGATTTCAAGCGATTCGATACCTCCACCCTCGCGTGCAAATATCGCTAGAAAACGATCGGAAAAGCTAAAAATCAGTAATATAAAGAATAATAAATTTGTCTAAGTATTAGCATTCAGCATTGAACTGTGTCTAAGTCTGACAATAATGTTACTCATTCAAATTTTCCTTAGAATTGTCGCTAATGAGGAAGATCGAAAAAATGTGATTAGGCGATTTAATATGGAAAGAAGGATAATGCGTTCTGACGGTGATCCATTTTCATTACCTGATGATTATTTTGTGCACCTATTTAGAACCCTCACAGAGAATACTTATGACTCTGTACTTTTATGCAGTTGTCTCTTATCAAAGATCTGTTGGTCAAAGTCATTCGTTCCCAGCATGCCAACAGTTTTTATCAAGATGTGTGAGATAATAACGAATCTCATTGTTCTATGGATAGTTTTTCCAACTGAAAGACAGCACATTAATCAAATCAAAGGAAGATTTCTTTGTGATTATTCGAGAATTTTTCTCGGCAAAACTTAGGATAACCTCGTGATGACCCGTGTTCAAACGCATTTCAATGTAGGATGAATCAAAATTCTTCAAAACTTCAAATGGTTTATTTCAGGCTATGAAATAAAATGAATTTTTTTCACAGAAGTCACAGAATACCAAAAATGAAGCGAGCTCGTCCCGAAATCGTTCAAGTTTGCAACTGGAACGCTTTATAGCATGGAAATTCCTAATCGGTTATCGAATTGCCCGAATTCATCTGACAATTATTTCGACAAACACATTTGCCTGAACATAGTGCGTTGCGCTTCCAATGTCGGAATCGCTATCGCTTATTGAATGTAGTTCCACTCCTGGTATTTTTCAATTGGAACACCCTGTATTTTTATTTTCCTAATCTGTTGAGCTTTTTCTTCTGATTTCAAATACATATACTTTGTTGAGTTCAATTTTTTGTCAGTTTTTGAACTACCATTTCCAATTTCGAAATTTTGGAAAAAATTTAGAAGAAGAATGGCATTTGATGAAATTACTTAAAGGAATCCTGATTGGGGATTAATCAAAATTGTTCGCATGTTTCATCAAAAACTGAGCAGTGCTTTATTCATTTGCTATTTCAAGGTTGCTTGGCATAGTTTCGATCGATGACGTCACTGTCCTGCACCGCTATTTCAAAACGAATGGCCACTTATATATGTATGTCATTGTATATCGAATCACATGAAAATGTCTAGAATTTTATTCAGAAACCGGAAGTGATATTAAACTGTTTTTTCATGGATATGAAATATGGTTCTTGAGGAACTATATCCCCGATCCAAATGCCAATAAAGAATCGAAAATTTTGGACATAAACAAGAGTACCCTTTGTTTTACTTTGACTATGCACCCAAAGGAATTCACAAGTTTTTGATGTTAGATTATGATCACAATTTGATAAACACGAACCAATATGCTTATTCGAAGTTCGGCTAGACGTCGAACACTAATGAACCAGCATTTGCACAAGTGTGTGATAACCGGCCAGTGACATAAGCACATTCTACTGAGCAGTGGCGTATCTGATTGCTAGACGCCAATCCTTCACATAGACAGTCGTCGAATCCTCTCTAGATATTAGATTATTGTGTGATAACGAAATAACTGCGGTTTTCGTGGTGCGCAATCATCAATGATGCATCTGATAGGTGCTGCAGATGGAGACGCACATCAGCAGCCACAACGACAGATCTCAATTCAACGATCTGCAATCGCTGTTGTGCGGCACCCTGCAATCGGTGCTGAGGAAAGTGACGCCAGAAGACGCACCGCAAATTTCGGACGCCATCATGACCGCAATGTTGACCATGTTCAATTCCAATTCCTGCAAAAACGGCGGTGAGTACAGTAAGGATAGAGTGACTTATTATATTTTTCATGTATAGAAATTCTATCTCAAGTTTGAAATTGCAATGTAATTTAGAATTATTTGCAGATGACAATATATGATCCAGTATCAATGTCATATGTTTTACCTTGTAGTTGTTCAAAGAAGAAATTCATTGTGACATTATTAAACTGAGGACAGCACAGTCGAACTCGATATTCGATTTGTTCATGTATTGTTTTGAAGTATTTTTATAAGCATGTATGTTTCTTGGGATCATGAAATTATATTATCAATTTTTTGCGGCCAGGCGTCCAAGAAGACGCTTTGATGGCCGTCTCGACGCTGGTCGAAGTGCTCGGCGAGGGATTCATCAAATATATGGACGCCTTCAAGCCGTTCCTGTACCTCGGTCTCAAGAACCACCAGGAGTACCAGGTGTGCTGTACTGCTGTGGGACTGACAGGCGATATTTTCCGCGCCCTCAGACTCAAAGTGTTGCCCTACTGTGATGAGATCATGTCCCTTCTCTTGGAAAACTTAGGTAATCATAAGATTTTTCTTTCGTGCGATCCCAAAAGTTGACTCATTTAAAAAAATAATTGTCACGAAAACGGTTCATTGAAAGTTCAAGAAAAGCATATGGAAATATTGACAATTGAATAAACTAGATTTGGATGTGACTTTTTTAATTCAAATGGAACATCATTATTGTCAGTTCTACCTGCCGATCCTGTTATGTGCGTTATGTGACTATCGTAAAAAGGATTTTTATGAAAAATTCAAAGTTGGCACTAGTTTCTTAAAAAATGCATATCTACAATGTTATCAATGCGGAACTCATCAAAAATTCATTGTATTTAGTTTTCCTCTCGATCTCATGCCTTATGTGACTATCTTGAAAAAATCTGAAAAATTTCAAGTTGGTATTAGTATCTTCGAGAATGCATATCTACAATGTTGAACTTGAATTTTCAACGTGTTCAGTGTTCATCATATCCCCATGCCTTATGTGAATGTATAAATATGTTTTTTATGAACAAGTTCAAGTTGACACTAATCTTGAAAAATGCATATTCAAAATGAATGCTGAATTCATCGTATTTAGTAATCATGATCTCATGCCTTATGTGACTATCGTAATTGCGATATTTATGAAAAATTTCAAGTTGGCACTAGTTTCTTTGAAAATGCTTATCTACAATGATATTAATTATGAACTCATCAAATTTTCACCGTATTTAGTAATCATCGTGATCTCATGTGACTATCGTAATTACGATTTTTATGAAACATGTCACTACTGGCCCTAGTATCTTCAAAAATGCTTATCTACAAAGGTTTTAATGCCGAAGCTATCAAATTTTGACCGCATTATCATTTATCATGTCCTTCAGATTGAAATAACTAATTTGAGAAGTAGTTATTCAATGTGATGAAATGTTGTTAAAATCATGCATATTCACTAGCACCGATGAAAATTCTATTTCCTCATGAATCGTACGTTGAAATGAAAATATGTTTCTCATAGGGTTTCAAACCCTTTAAAAATTGAATTGAATATTGTGAAGAAAAAAATTGGACAACCTCCCATTCCCTAATTTTTCTCTTAGGTGATCAATCGGTGCATCGCAGCGTGAAGCCACAAATTTTGTCCGTTTTCGGTGATATGGTTCTGAGTATCGGATCGGAGTTCAAGAAGTACTTGGACGTGGTATTGTCGACTTTGGCGCAGGCGTCGCAAGCGCAGGTCGATCGCAACGATTTCGACATGATCGATTACTTGAATGAGCTGAGAGAGGGAGTTCTAGACGCCTATACCGGAATCATACAGGTCAGTGGAGTATCAACTGTGATATCGCAAATTCTTTTGGCAAATCATTGCAAAAAAATGGGTAAAATCTTAGATCATTTAGGATCTCGCCTTCCTCAAATGGACTGCTAATCGCCCATATTAGCAATGTGGAAAATTCTCCAACATTAAACGAAGGGGGCAACATATCTGCCTCTCAGAGAGGCCAAGATCGTTACTGCGCATGTATGCATTCCACAGTTAAACAAGTCGAGAATTTTGAAATCCTTTTGCTCCAATCACTCAAGTTCACTGAAGAAGGGATGATATGTAGATTTTGTGGGTCAATAACCAAAGAACAGAGGACTGTTCCTATGTCGCCAGTCAAGAAAAGGACTATCGGATCATGGTAATGCGGTGTTGCATTTGTTTCACCACGGCTTGTATTTGAGATGGTTGGGGTCTAATGCTCTGAAAGGCGACGACCATACCCCCACTCAAGACGTCCTCGTTCTCGAGTCGCACGTGCCATTTTTTTGAAAAATGTCAAGTTTACACTAGTGTCTTTAAAAATGCATTTCTACAAAGTTATTGATGATGGAGATATCAAATTTTCACCATATTCAATGTTCATCATGATCTCGTGCCTTATGTGACTATCGTAATTACCATTCTTCAGAAAAATATTGCGAGTCGATACTGGTATGTTGATGCTGAATTCTTCCAAATATCGAAAGATAACGAATATTCGTTGGCAAACCGGTTACGTTTGATTCTCGTGATAAGAGTGTGAGACGTTATTAGGCGTGCTTTTCGTAAATTTCCCAACAACGTGACTTGAATCCGAATAGATCCGGCTCGAAAGACCAATATGGTCGATGCTTGATAAATGGTGAACTATATTTGTATGGTTATATAATAATAATAATAATAATAATAATATAAGTTTTATTCAAAAACGTTTACAAAATATACATTGGAATTAACATAAAGGTAATTTGAATAAACTGGGAAAAACCTTACGAAGTTAACCTTGTAGTAAGGATAAAAAATAAATAAATGTACATAGGTCAATAAATATTTAACAATATCAAGTTAGAGAAACATTTGTATTATTTTTTCTTTTTCGGTTTCATGGTTAACAAAAAAATTTTTTTTTTTTTTGATGTTTCGTTGATAAGGCAAATGTTTCTCTGATTTTTACTACTTGGTTGAGGTACGTATACTTTTAATCATTTTCATAATATCAAAATGTAAATTTGTATTTTTTAATTCACAGCTAACCTAACTCCACTGTTCATCATCATGTCGTCCTTACAATAAATTGACAAATAAATTCCACCAATACTTAATTTCACAAACGAATCCAAAACCCAAGAAGCCCCCAAAAAAATAAGATAAACAGGATTCAAGAACTCCCCTCTCCAAAGTATTTGAAATTTTCATTTTGAAATAAAAAAATCGTGTTTTTTGCGCTCAGGGCCTTAAAGGTGATGGCCCCACCCCCAACCCGGACGTCCTCGTCCTCGAGCCTCACGTGCCCTTCATCGTGCAGTTCATCGCGACGGTGGCTTCTGACGTCGAACACTCGGACGGATGCGTTGCCGTCGCGGCGGGCATCGTCGGTGACCTCTGTCTGGCGTTCGGCGCGGCGGTGTTGCCGATGCTGGACCAGGCGCCGCTGGAGGAGATGCTGGCTCAAGGCCGAAGGAGTCGCGTGACGAGGGCCAAGACGCTGGCCACGTGGGCGACGAAGGAGTTGCGGAAGTTGAAGGCTGCCGGCTCGGTGACGGTGGCCACGGCCAGCTGGTGAGTGATACCTTTTCTTATACTACTTTGTGATTTTTATCCCAACATATGGGAGAAATGATTGTGTATATAGGAGTCAGTTGAGACACCGGAAAACAATCTGTCTTTGTGAGTATGCTGGCAAGATATTCACAAATTCACTAGGATAACATTGTACGAAGTAGTTGAGTATGCTATATAATAATTGAGGTGGATACACCCTGTAAGCAAATGCTTGCAGCCACTTTTTTAAACAAAATGAAATTCCCATGTAGGTATATATTGCTCTTAGCACCACTAAATGAATACTTTGACTGTGATATATACCTAGTGTTTGGTTAGAACAATAGATAGTTGAGTGAGTTGACAGGTCAACAAATGATTCCAGGAGCTAGACAATAATGAGCTTGATGGGAGGCATGTCCTATTTTCACCTGCTATAAACAAGTGCGCGTACGAAATGCGATATTCCGATAGACTAATAATTATGGCTGCCGTCTAATAATTCCAAATGTATGCAAATATCAAATATGTATCGCTAATTATTGGTAATTTAACTTGATTTTGAGAATTACAAAATTGAGTTCCGGCTCGAAGGACCATCAACAATTACGAGGAGACAGTAGACTGTAAATTTGATGATGAGTTTTCGAATGCCGAGAGGTTGATATAACCGAGTGGTGGTGAGTACCAGTTGTCGGTTATCTTCAAAATGTTGTTTTCGGCGGCCGGCATTTCATTCACGAATCGTATATATGGCACACGGACACTGTCATCAAACGTGAAATCAATGAGCGAGTGGATTGATAATGAATTAGTGGCATTAAATTAATCCACTATGTCATAAGGAACTTGAATTGATTATTGCAATACTTCTCACGCATTTTTTATTAAAATGATAAGCCTATGCGTTGTTCGATACGTCGAATAAATGATGACATCGGTTTTTCATGCTGTTCCGTTATTGGTCAGATAATCTTCCATTTCCACTCACGTAGCAAGGTTGTCAAGTTACCAATTATAATCAAGTTAACAAAAATATGTTAGAGTCCTGTCGTTGTATGAAAAATGATAGGAGAAACCTATGATATTATAGTTCACTTTTGACTATTTCAGCAACCAGCATTTCCAAATATTTCTTATTTTCCATAACAAAATATCATGTAAATGTTGGAGACATGGCAACATTGTGCTGAATTCTGAGAACTGGAAAGACCACGCCCACCAGTCGTGCGCCAAATCAGAAGGGAACATTTTGAGGGAAATGAATGCCGTATCGATAAAGAAAACCTTAAGTTAAAAAATCTTGATTTTGAACAACCTATATTTCTGCTATTATTATTTCTGCTAGACCGCAAGTGTAATATTCTGATGAAATCAGCTCATAAAAGAGAATCTAAGAATGCGACATTATTATATAGGGTGTTCTATTTGAAAAAACAAAGTTAATTTTACTTCTGGTTCAACCGGAAATGCCGCCATCTTGAAAATGTCTTCATTCAAGAGGACTCATAAGATAACCGCTGCATACAAATTTTCAGATCAGTGTCATGTTTAGCCAAATACGTCCAATGTGCGGTTTAGACGGAACAGCCTGTATACAGGGTGTAATTTGATTGATGGCTGGAAATATAGAATGCTGTTCCTCAGCTAATTTTAATATGAAGTTCATATTAACATATGCCCTAAACCTTTCAACTTCCGAGCTATACGGCTGTCAAAGTCTTAAGAAAAATTTCGTTTTCTTATCATTACGTCAATACTGTTCTAGATATTTTCATGACATTTGAAAGGTACCTACTAAGCACCAATAGGTATTTTTTATGCAGAAGGTTTTTTAATATTTGTGCCATTGACGTCTGTACGGGATGTACAATGAAGATTTTTCTGAAAAAATATTGTCCGCCCTTATTTTCTCCAAAAATAAAAATAACTTCAATCCTCATTATATTGAAACAATTATCTGTCTGACTCACCGTTTGCGGGTGAAATCCATTCTGGCTAATTCAATCATTTGACTTTCTTGAATAAAAATTTAACAAATCCCAACTTACCTGGAAACTACCACATGGTGCTTAGTATGTGCATGTCAAATTTCATGAAAATATCTTGGAACACTATTGAAGTTATGATGAGGAAACGATTCTTTTCTTAAAATTTCAACAACACCTTTTCATCTTGAAATGAGCTAAGGAACAATATCCTATATATCAGGAGGAGTGAAAGAACCTACAGTTACCACTCCACCACATAAACAATATAATAATGACCAAGGGTCATGGACAAAAGAACATGTTTCGAAGGATTAATCCTTCATCATCAGCAAATTTATAAAAAGAAGGAGAAGCATTATCTTTTATAAATTACTTTTTACACTACATTTTACTCAGTTTTTATCATTGATTATACATCATATTGTTCTCGTATGTTTGTATGCACACTTTTTTTTTTTTTTAGTTTTTAATTTTTAATTTTTAACTTCATCTGTAAATCTCTAGTCTTAGCCACTAGTTTTTGTAATATTCATAACTTATGTATATGTGACGTATCTTATTTGTATTCTTATGAATGCACCTAAAAGACAAATAAAATATCTATCTATCTATCTCTATGTAATATGTGTTGTGAGAATGGAAAAGTTACGTACGTAGCCGCGGAGCAGCGAGTGCGTAATTGCTTTACAAGATGCATTACGTACTATACTTTACCTACTGGCATATAGTACATCAAATAAGTTTGGACAAACAGTCTGAATTAGTGAATTATAATTCTTAACAGTTATGTTATCCGACGGCGATTACGCGATCATGACTGGCGGAACAAACGAAAACTGTGCGATGTGTTCACTGTGCGCAAAGAGCTACTTACTGAGGCTGTATCTCGTGTGTTCTTGCCTACTTTCTATAGTGGCCGTAGTTTAAATTGTTTATGTGGTGAAGTTGTGACTGTAAGTTCTTTCACCCCTTCTGATTTATATCACCTTATGGATCACCTACGTTTGTTAATATCCTATATTATTATATTCAGCCATCAATTGAATTATACCCTGTATAGTTTGACAACATTGTTTCTGTTTGTTTTTGCAGATTCTGTTTGGTCCGTTGAAGCTGAAGAGCCTGTCGATAGCAGCACCGCCACTGATTGTACATGTTGTAATCCTAAATTCCATACTTTTAATAATTATATTTTTCTCGTAACTAGAAATATTGAATTTCCCGTTGCCGCCGGTCTCACTACTAGGAACAATTTATCCTTTACTTGGTTTTCTCTGTGAACATACGGACTCGTTATCGGAGGGTGCTGCATATCCATCATGTGCTGTGTATGAACGAAAAAAATGTCGGTGATAGATAATCGTTAGCTAAGAAACGCTTGTATATAGTGTCTGTTCTAGTGCGCAAGAGGGTTTGTGTACCGGCTCAAGACTGATTGACGTGTTGGCATCTTATTTCGATCACTCTGTGCGTCAGTTCAATTTTTAAGTGATGTAACTTAACGAGAAATAAAGAATTTTTTACAGTTTTTGTCTTGACTCTAATTATGTCTGTCTTGCAAGTGTAAGCTGTAGGTATCGCTCTTCCTAACCCCGCACATTTCGACTTGTAGGGAGTTTTAGTGTCTACGTTATCTGTAAGTTTTAGCTCAAACACAATATACTGATTGATCTGCTTCTACCATTGAGATTTCGTGATGATCCAAACTAAAGTGCTCAAAGAAACAAGTGGACCACTGAAATATTTGACAATTTTCAAACTGCCATATATTTTAAGAAAATGAATGGATTCTTAATCGGTATGCAATGCTTGGAAGATGCGATCTTTCTGTTCAAGATTCCTCGTTCAAAACTCGTCGGGGTTTTTTCTGTCATTATACACCAAGTGTTTGAAAAAAGTATTACAAAAATGAGTGAATTCAAACGCTTCCGTATTCCAGGGATTTTTTTTTATTTTTCTATTGATCATTTTTTTCGAACGTTCAAGCCAATATCTCGAAACGGTTTTGTAATTTTCCATATTCCTTATACAGGATGCTGATAATCGATAATTTTTCAATTTCAGGTTTTTATCGCAACATTTCCGATTTTAAAATTATGCAAGCCACATTCAAAGCATTTTTCCACTCTATCCAATGGAACACATCCTAGAAAATGGCTTCATATTGCGTTGAAATCATCGACAACTTCAACAGAAGAAAAAATATTTTTTTGGAGAAATGTTCGGAATTTGGTGAAATCGTCTGTTCAGTTTGGTGCTGCCATAACCATATGCTATGCTAGACACAAATCCTTCATTTGAATCGATTGCTCAGCTCAATATGTCGAATTGATTTCGTGATTTTTCAAATAAGGCAATCCAAGGAGGCCCTTCTGGATTTTCCTGACCAATTCATACAATAACGATGCTACAATGGTAAGATATTCCTGAGCTGACATGAAGTCAAGAAACCTATTTATCACTAGATTTTTCATCGCGTAATCGGAAATCAATCGAAAAAGTCGATTTCTTGTGATCTACACTCATCTACAGTCCATCTACACTCCTGTCGAACATTTCATCGTTCGACAGGAGACATTATATTGGGTGTTGCAGTGGTATTAATTGCGTAAATGAGGGTTGATCACAAGAAATCGACTTTTTCGATTGATTTTTCGATTACCCGATGAAACACCTAGTGATAAATAGGTTTCTTGACTCTATGTCAGCTCAGGAATATCTTGAAACCATTGTAGCATCCTTATTGTATGAATTGGTCAGGAAAATCCAGAAGGGCCTCCTTGTGCCCTTGGATTGTCTTATTTGAAAAATCACGGAATCAATTCGAGATATTGAGCTGAGCAATCGATTCAAATGAAGAATTTGTGTCTAGCATACCGTATGGTTATGGCAGCACCAAACCACGCTCTCTACTGTGACCAAACTGAACAGACGATTTCATCAGATACTGAACATTATTCCAAAAAAATATTTGTCCTTCTGTTGAAGTTGTCGATGATTTCAACGCAATATGTATCCATTTTCTAGGATGTGTTCCATTGTATAGAGTGGCAAAATGCTTTGAATGTGGCTTGCATAATTTCAAAATCGGAAATGATGCGATCTAAAAATGGAAAATTATCGATATTGAACATCCTGTATGAGGAATATGGAAGATTAGAAAACCGTTTCGTGATATTGGCTTGAACGTTCGAGAAAAAGTATTGATAGAAAAATAAAAAAAAAATCCTGGAATACGGAAGCCCTTGAATTCTCTCTTTTTTTGTAATGCTTTTTTCGAACACTTGGTGTTGGACAAGTTTAGAACAAGGAATCTTGAACAGAAAGATCGCATCTTCCAAGCACTGCATTCCGATTGAAAATCCATTCATTTTCTAAAGAGATATGGCATTTTGAAAATTGTCAAATATTTCAGTGGTCCACTTGTTTCTTTGAGCACTTTATTTTGTATATTTCAAAAACAATGGTGAAATGCAGCTGAAAGGAAAAAGTACCAACTTCGCCTCAAATGTCAAATGTTGACAAATGGTTGACTGTTATTATTGTTCATTTGTTTTATCTCATAACTTTACAGCTGTCCACTGTATTAGTTGATTTCATCTCATATTTCCGTGTCTATCATGCTGGAAAATAATGAATAAGTGATTAACGATTATTTTTATGAGTGAGTGTTGGCATGTAAAAATGAAGGAACCCAAAGGTAGTATTTGCAATATCTCTTTTTTACCGTAATTTCAGCATGATTATTCGTTGTAACTTGGTAAAAAAGTGTGTAGCACTCAGTAGCCTAAAAGGCACAAGTCTGAGACCACAATTTACCATTTCAAATAACAAAACCAATGATGATAAGCAGCATATTATCTTTTATTAATGAAAATAAAATAGGTCATCAGCCATCTACAATTCCTTCGAATAATATGATTTAGGTCGAATCAGACATTGTAAATGGCAACTATATAATACAATAAAAAATGCTTAACTTAATAAGGCTTGCATAATAAAATCCGGATATCTCAATAAATTCCACCCTATCATAGATCGCGATTTCTTTCATCACCATCCCTATATTATAAATGGCAAGACATGATATTTCTGGCAGTATCAAACTTGAAGTAAGTGAAGTCCAAATTTACGTTACTTATATGGAGATCAAAATATCAAAAATAAGCTTCACTACAAATTATAACGTTTAAGAATTATGTTCGTCAAAACTATCATTGGAAACATGAAAGGATTGTTGAAAATAATAATGAGGCTAAAGTGTTATTTCAATTCAAACTTGATAGTGTACAACTGTTACACTCTACAGGGTATTACAAAGGACCCCGTACCATTTACAATGAAATCTTGTCTACGGTGAAAATCTAGGATTGGATAGATCAAATCATGCTGAAAAAGAAATGTCCTTTGGTCCAAGGTCCGTTATGCCCGTTGAAAGGTAAGCTCTTGAAGCCAAACGAGATAACCTCTACCAGAACAGCACATCCTGTGTGTAATATGGTTTTGGCTAATATGATATTTTTGAGTTGTCAGATGATGGTCATTCATGTTATGTCAGTAAAAGTCATTGAGCAAAAGCGTTATTACTTTGTTCAAATACATATAAGATGGCTTATCAGAATAGGTTTCTTTGCTTTATATACTATAGCAAAGGCAATATCAATGTTATGACATGCATCGATCGAGATCAAAATGTTGAGCAGCAAGCAATCGCAATACATCGTCGACAGGTTCTAGGAAGAAAGGATATACCACTAACCGATCGTACTCGTTCATTTCTGATCTGTAATTGACCCAATAAATAGAGGAACTTGGAATTTGGGATAACGTTCTATGAACCTGAATGTTGTAAATAATAATTTACTTCACATATTATTAGTTCCTAGAGTCAATGAATATATTTTAATTGTTATTTATTATACAAGGGGAAAAAGTAGTAGATATTAGCTCCAGGTTGTGTGGTCTCTCGACGCGTAGCAGAGGGAGACAACAAACCGTGAGCTAAAATCTCCGTGTATAATACACTATTTTCTTCTGTGACAGAAGAAAGGACGAATCAATATTGAGAAGATATTACATTATTTTGAAATTTAAAAATTATCGACGTGAAATTTTAAGTTTTCAACAGTATAGGGACACCTGTGTTGTAGGCATCTTTATCATTCTTTTGTAATCAAATATTTGATGTCACTTCTGTCAGTCTAATTCTGTGATTTGATTTGAAAAACTTGCGAATTTAGTGGTTGTTTAGTAATATACGTAACCGCGAAGTCGAATGGAAGATAAAAGGACTTGCAGTTCTTTCTCAGAGATGGTATTATTGACTCATTTTTCGGAACTATAGCACAACAAAAGCCATCAACAGTATATATATTTATATGTGATATATATCCGGGAAAAAAGTACTAATTTGTTTCCCACGGGAAAAAAAGTAATTTATGAAAAGTGAAATTTTATAACCTGCCAACAGAGATGAAAAGCCAAACTTTCTTCCCGTCACAGAAAAAATAATATTAGGCGTCGGGAACATTATGTCAACGCTGATGTTATAATATTGCGACCATTGATTGGTGGTTTATATACGTCATAGGGAAAGGCCACTAATAGTCCCCGGTCGAGACTAGCAACGTATTTGAGCAAATTAATACGCTTTTGCTCAATCAATAACTTTTACTGACATAACATGTATGACCATTTTCTGACATCTCAAAAATATCATATTAGCCAAAACCACATTATACACAGAATATGACGTGCTGTTCTGGTAGAGGTTATCTCGTTTGGCTTCAAGAGATTATAATTTTTTTTTAACGGGCATAACGGACCTCGGACCAGAGGAGATTTCTTGTTCAGCATGATACGATCTATCCAATCCTAGATTTTCACAAAATTTCACCTTAGACAAGATTTCAATTGTAAATGGTGCGGGGTCCTTTCATGAAAAAAAAAAAACACGTCATAATTGCTACACCCGGTATTCATGAAAGAGAGGTTTTAATGCGAATACACAGTTTGCACGCTAATATCTAGAAGGAAATAACCTTTCATTCAAAATAAAAAACTTTCGAATGGGACAAGTAGTTTTGACGAAAATATATTTGAAGGAATGAATCCTTGAGCGAAATGCAAAATGCAACCATAACGAACTCAAATCATCCGTGCAATTACTTTCCGAACGAATATTGTTTATCCTCATAGTATTATAATTCATGAAATCATGTGATTCGTGGACAACGTAAAGTGCAGTTATAAGATTGATGGTGCTTCGCAAGCCTAAGTAAGTATAAGCCTCGCCTAGTTTGCATATGAGAAAAATACGTTGATGTAATTTTCTAACTTTCTCATTGCGGACGACCTTAGATATCAAACGAAGCTCGATGTATTACGAAACGTTTTCCGTATTATTGGATTTGCATGTGTCTGTAAGGGCAAAGTGCAACAATTAGAACTGTTTAATGATCCATAAAATGCCTGGCGAAAATATTATCTAGCGATTGCTAATAAGTGCTAATAATGACAGCATGATTATT